AGGGCTGGAGCACCTCTCCTATGAGGACAGGCTGAGAGAGTTGGGCTTGTTCAGCCTGGAGAAGAGAAGGCTGCGGGGAGACCTCATTGCAGCCTTTCAGTACTTAAAGGGGGCCTGTAGGAAAGATGGGGAAAATCATTTAGCAGGGCTGGTTTTGACAGGACAAGGGGTAATGGTTTTAAACTAAACCAGGGTAGGTTTAGACTGGATATAAGGAAGAAATTCTTTACAATGAGGGTGGTGAAACACTGGAACAGGTTGCCCAGAGAGGTAGTGGAGACCCCATCCCTGGAAGCATTCAAGACCAGGTTGGACGGGGCTGTGAGCAACCTGATCTAGTTAGCGGTGTCCCTGCTCACTGCAGGGGGGTTGGACTAGATGACCTCTAGGGGTCCCCTCCAACCCAAAACATTCTATGACTCGAACGTATTTGCAATCTGTAATTACTTAATTACTAATTACTCAATCTATAGGGTACATGTACGATTCAGCTTTCAGAATACCTGTACAGAAGGGAAATTCTAGCCCAAGCCTACACTCCCTCCCACCACTGGCTTAAGGTTTAAGCAGAAGGTAGGAATAGCTGTAGCAGTCCTGGTAGCACAGCTTTATTTCCTGTATGGACCACAGCTTTGCTTCCCATTTCTGTTAAACAGAGGGCACAAAATTAAATTCAGAATCTTCTGCTTGCTTTCATCAGCCCCCACATTTCAGACTTGCTTTGTACAAGCATAAAAATGAAATGCAAAAGAGAACAAAAAAAGTCAAAATAAACCCCTCTGGGACTACCTGTGTAGAATAAAATCCTGCCTTTACTCTTCACGGCAAAAGAAACAACACAAATGTCGGAGTGCTGCCGCGTAACGCCCAGCAGGTCACCTGTGGGGCAACCGAACAGCGGGCACAGTTGAAAAGAGATTCTTTCCCAGGCAGGTTTCCACAGCTCTTTTTAAAGCCCAGCTGAGCTACAATACAAAAACTTCCAGCTCCATCATAGATGAAGCTGAGGAGCCAGGATTGTGCCTGGCAGTTAAGAGCTCTTTTCCTACATACATCTTTTCCAAAATACATGGGGATGGGTTTTTCTTTTTGGTTTGCTATAATGTGAATCTAGAAATGAATGGGGAATCTTGGTGCTCGTGCGATGGGCACAAATATCATCTGGGCTCTAGGAAGGGCATCGTTTGTTACAGCTTCCACGTGCCTACAGATAACTGATGACGCAGCAACTGACTTGTGATCCCGAGTTACCCCAGGTTAGAAAGGTCAAAAGAGTCCAGAGCTGGCATGCTATAATCCGTGCTGCTGGTTTAATAACAGAGAAGCCAAATAATGAAAGACATGAACTGAAGAATTTCGTATTTTTGGCCTGTTCTATGATCAACCCGTGGGGACATTTCTGTTAACATCAAGGGGAGTTACAACACAGTGAAAACATGCTCCTGCTCCTCCACCACCTTGCAATATGTCATTGCATTTCTAAACTTGTTCACGTTACAGTCTGATCTGGGTTCATTCCAAACACAACAGCGTACCTGATAAAGGTCGTTTCTCATGTTAATGATGTCATTGTAATTCACATCAGGCATCACTTCCAACAGGTTTTTCACCAGCTCAGTATGAAGGTGGATAATTGCTAAATGAAGGACACTGAAACAAACAAAAACCAGATTAACACATCCACATTATTTTCAAATTTATTATAAAAATTGTCAGGTTTTGCTGTACATCTCATTGAATTCTAATTGATATTAACACTTGACATGAGAGGTCATGATTTCAGCCCTAAATATCAGCACCTAAAATGAATCCCAGCATTAAAAAAAGGTAGTCAGAAGAGAACTGTGTTTAACCCTTCAATCACAGAAACAGGCTCAGGATGGCTTTTGCTGGTCCTGAGCATGACTTAACTAATAATCTAACAAATGACAAACCTTGTATCACTACAGAATTGTTTCAGAATTTGTTTGAAATCACCAGATTCTTTGCTGGTTTTTTTGGTTTTGTTTTTTTTTTTTTTCAAGTTTTGAATTATGCAGCACACATGAACACCTCTTACTGTCAAAACCTTCCTTCAGAATTTCCACAGGCGCCTCTGCCACCAAAGCAGATTTTCCTTTGGGGGTTTCCCCAGATCTGTGGGTTTTTCTTTTCTTTGTTTTCAAACAGAAAAACAACTGAGGACTCGGGCTGGTGACTAACAGCCACAGGATCTGCAGTGGTGGCCAGAGACGTCACACCAAAGGAAAAATCTGGTTTGGGACATGAGTGACTCCGCATAGCCAGACGCTTCACCACGGCTCATGGGCTAACGCAACGGCCTTTCCCATGCTCTTCTCCAGAGTCACGGTCCTTCCCCACCACCCAGTGTGGCTGTACTTTCAAAGTGACACCAGGAAAAAAAAGCAGGTTGTGAATCCCATCACCCCTCTCCAGCAGAGCTCAGTTTGTCTTGTTGCCATGAGACATCATTTCAAAGTCACGCCCTTTGCTTTGAAACATTTCTTGCCAAGCTGGCCAGTTTCTAGACTCATCTTTTTAGCATATCGCTGCTGACACACAATATCAACACAGGACACGCGGTGTGTTTGTTACGCTGCTCCAGAAATACCTGCATATACTCAGATCTACACTTTCATCAGAAAAATAAGAAAGTTCCTTGCCATTCGGGGTGTAGAGTCATCTTGAAATTGAGACTGAGAGCACTCAAAACCAGAAGATATTTTAAAAAGGGAAAAAAATACGATCTCTAAACCAAACTCATCCTTGAAGGGCCTGTTTTATTGGTTCTGGACACCACCACAGGCAGTACCATGGCACTTTCCCTCCTTCAGCTCTCCTGTGCTCTTCAAACTGTCCCAACACTCCCATAAAAGAGCTGTTCCTCTGCTCTCAGGTAGATGCTTCTTATTACGCTCTATCTTGCTGACATTTTATTTCCAAATCTCACCTCAGAAACAAATTTGCTCTTCTACTGCCTTTAGTTCTCTTCCCTGTGGCAAGTATTTTAATTTTACCCTGCCACTACATGTGATGCTGCAAAGACCTGCTGACTAGACCACGAAAGGGCAGTCAATTCCGTTTCTTAAACAGCCCTACATCAAAAAATGCATTTTGGCACCGCTGTAGACGCAGAGTGCCATAATACCATCAGGCCTCCGGAGCACAGTGGTGCTGGTATAAATGCAGTAACAGCCGGTGTTACCAAGTGCCTGCTGTAAATATACACTAATCACAGATGAAACGTATTTTGTCTCAAAGCCATAAACTGCAACACAGGTCCCATTAAAGGCATTTTCATTCCCCGCGTACTATTTGATGAAAGAAAAGTGAGCAAAATTGTTGACGGCAACATTTCTTTAAAGGCTTACCAAAAAAATTGATAGTTTTTGCCATATAATTTTAATGATTAAAATGAAAATTAGGGAAATTGATTTATGAATTTTAAGCTTTTTTTCTTTTTCCCCCTTTTTAAAAACAGCTCCTGGAGAGAGCTGGAAGACAGTCACCAAAACTTTGTTTTGTTAAAAAGCTGCAGAGTAATTTAGAGGTGTTACACGCCCACAGTCTAAAATCCATCCCAGGAGAAAGGCAACATGAGCTTGAACCTCACATACTTGCAGGTACTTCTTGATCCAGGAACAAAACAACTATTTACCATCATTCTGAAAAGTATTCTGACTTCGTTTAAATGCCCTGCAAGTCCAAATCTGAGGGGCACCTTATTGATATTTAAATGCCAGTCCTACTTGCTCAATACTCCTCTCCCCCTCTACCCCCTGCTGTATTGTCCAAAGCACTAGCAGATTTTGTTGCTGGCTCCTGCCTCGTTCATATTCCTGTTTTCCTCAAAGCAGACATTAGGTTGCCAACTGCAAAGCAAGCAAAGTAGCAGTCTCCGATTTTGCAGTCCTTTATCTGTAATGGGAGACCTATTTTCACCAAAAGTGGAGTGAAAGTCGTAGCCTCTCACAGAGTAATCAAACAGTGGGATAGCACTTCTCAGTCACTCGTCATTTGCCATCTACCTGGACCCCTTAAGGCTTATATGGCTTCTACAGAACAAAATACTGCAATTTAAGGAAACGAAAGGGCCTGCCCAAAGCATGCCAGCTAAAAAGCAAGGATGTGATAATGCCACTTTGCTTATTCAAGAGACTATCTTTGCATGTGTTCAGAGCCACTTCTGCTGAATTTCCTTTTAAATAACTCCTAATCAGTCGTGCCTCACTGTATTTCACTCTCTGAGGCCCATAGATGAACAAAATGGATTTCTACTCTGGCTCGCATTATTGAAGGACTGATAGGCAAGTATTAGCAGCCAAGTCTGCCACAAACATCCGTGCAATCTCTTGAAGATGACAGTACAGTACAGATGTAAGCAAGAGCAAAATACCGTCCTCTGGGAAGAACTTGGTGTCAGTAGGAGAAAAGCAGCATGGACCCTCCAGCTATTATTACTACATCTCCCAGCACACCTGTAACTTAAAGCTTCCTATGAAGGCTTAAGGACTTGCATGGAATAAAAAGCAGGGTGCTCCCCTTGAGCACAAAGCCGAGTATCCCCATCAACTGTGTCTCATGATGCAAGCGTAGCACTTCACGCTCAGTCAAGATTTTGCGTAAAAAAAGGCAAACAAACTCACAACATGCTCAGCATACCCTCAATGACCAGATTACTTGCTGACAGGTATTGGACCAATGAACTTTGTGATATGAGTGACTCTTCTGCAAATGCAACAAAAAATGTCTAAATCACAGCTGTACCTCCTCCCAAAGATCATGACATTTCATGCTCTCTCTCGTGTATCTCTCCCAAAGGAGATCGATATTTATTTGATTAGAGCAGTGCTGCAATCACTGATCGGCACCCCACAGCGGACAGAACAAATTGACCACACCGTTCTGCCATCGTGACTTTCAACCCAGGAATAATAGGCCAACTTACTTGTCTCCGTTATCATCCTGGACAATAGTGAGATGGCGCTGAACAGCCAACAGCATCTTCACATCTCCAGTTACAGCATAATCAAAGAGAGCATTGCAGTGACGCTTGGCAAGCTGCATGGCCTTCTCCAGGAACGGACCATCTGCAACACAAAGTTTTGTCTTCATCAGTTTGGTCGTCTTCCTTGCAACATCACCTTCTTTTGACAGGCACTTGCACTGCCAAAGAAATGCGAAGTGCAGACCACCAAGCATTATTTACTGATTCACTAAGACAGGTCGCTAATTACTCCTGAGAGGTAAGGACAGAGGGAGTGAGTCCCTTGG